TGGGTCTTTTCACGTGTGTTATGAATAAATCTTTTTTTCGGTACCGGTACTAGTTTTATTTTGTTGTATTTATCCGCGACACCTTAAAGGCCGGTCCGTGAAAATATTGTCGGGCATAAACCGGTCCGTGGCGCAAAAAAGGTTGGAGACCTCTGCTCAAAATGCACCAACGTGTTATATTATCGACCCTTACGTGGGTCTTTTCAGAGAACAAGAACAAACATAGACGACATTGTTAAAGCAGGCTCAACAAACTCTGAGTTCAAAAATAAACCCGGGAAAGGACTCCACTATCAACGGAGCGCCGATACCAGGATTCCCCAGACTTTACCCTGATATCACTTCATGTTAAATTAGACTTTAACCATCCATTCACTCTTTTATAATTATAATATTTCTGACTGTCTGAGGCAAAATTTCCCAGATTCAATTAGAATCGAATCGAGGATTGAATCGATTCGGGACCTTGTGAATCGAATCGATTCTAGGAATCAGTGACGATACCCAGCCCTAGTTGCAGGGCTAAGACTTTAGCATTGCTTAAAATAATGCTGATTACATCTTGTGAACATCTGCTCTGCCAGCTGCCTGCACTGTTCGTCTGCAACCCCAAGCAAACCTAAGGGGGTGCTGGACTCGAGCTTGGTAAACCAGCGGTGCACTTCACTCTCCTCCACATTCATAAAGAGCGCTACAAACACAAACAGCTAACAGGTGGATTTTCCTGTTTCAGTGCAGCTAGCGAGGGGTGGAGGACCACTTACTGCTGACGGGTGTGGACGGTTTAAGATCAAACCCACTTCTGCAAAAGTGACCCTTAGACTGCTTTTAGTTTAGTTTCCTTGTTTTCCACTGCATCATTGATTCTATCACTAGTTAGCTAACATAAGCTAATGTAAGTCTGTTAGTGGCAACCAACCAACCACATGACAGCACGTTCTGTAGTGGCACAAGATGGCGCTACAAACTCTGAAGACGTCAGCTTCACAGACGGCGAGGAGGGAAATGAGCCTTTAAACATGTGTGTGTCATGTTCACTGTAACACCAGAGCTCAGAGATGTTAGCTAAGCCCGGCTCCTGGACCTGCGTCCACAACTTCGTGGACTCTTTTGGGATACAAGTTCCCAAAGTTTGCATCTGTAGTATCTGGTCATACACAGGATGCTGATTATGCAATAACAGCTGCAACGCTTCTGCTTTCACCTTTGACAGGCACAGGACGTGGTGCAGGAGCTTCACTGATATTTCATATTTATGAGACTTAAAAGGAAATTTGCTTATAACTCCAGCCATTGTGTGAAGGCTGTAAACATTCACAGGAGTCATTTGTTAAGTAAATGAGTCTCATGCAGCTCCCCGATGTCACAGCTGAGCATTTGTTTGTTTGCTGTGACTCAGTTATGGAAACAAATTCACTTCTTTGAAACTGAAGCTCTCACCAATCAGATTCAGTGTTTTAAAGCTAGACTCTCCTGTAGGTCCAGGAAGGTGCTGATGGTGCCAAAGGTGGAGGTATCTATGCTGATGATGCTCTGCTTTATGTGACTCATGACCAAATGATGTCTGACATCACAAAACGTCTTAGAACCAGGAAACGATAAAACCATTGGTCAGTTTAACAAACGTCTGAAACACGGGCTCCACATTTGCTACGCTGGAAAGCAGTCTTACATATTTGTTTAATATGTGCATTAAAGGACATTAGGTACCAGCTTGCAGAGCAGGACAGACGCAGCCAGGCTGAGACAGCAGCTATGCTGACGGTGGTTATCAGCTGTTTGTCCAGGCTTTCCGAGTCAGACTTTCACTCTTTTCCTGCACCAAACCGACCGATTGTGTGACACCTACTCCAGTGAGAGACTTTCACAGAGCAGATCTATGTAGAATATAAAAATATTAGACTGTGGGTAGTTGTTGCTAGTTGCTGGCCACAGCTTTATTTTTAGCACTTTAAACTCGTTAAATCAAACTGAAACGCGCCAGCTGCAACAGATCAAAGTGACAACCAGAAACAAACTAACAACAAGCTGAAGGAAGGAGGTGAACAGGCGACCCAGCAAAGAGTAAACCAGAAAGAACTACAAGCACAACAAAACCAGATATTCTGCTGATCTGGGCTCTGAAAAGATGACCGATCAGGACCAGTATGTAACCAGTATGTAACCAGTATGTAACCAGTATGTAACCAGTATGTATAGATTTGTCGACACATCCTCACGAGTTTGGGGATGTGAGAAGAAATGAATCCACATGTTAACCCTCTGTGGTTTTGGCGGTGTGGATGGTTTGTTGCTGTCATTTCTTTGGTCGCTGTTTTTTCCACTTCTCAGCATGCATGTGAACGCACCCACACACACACACACACACACACACACACACACACACACACACACACACACACACACACACACGTAGGTTAAGAAAAAGAACCCTTTGGTTTAGCATGCAAACACGACCACATCACTTCTGAATCTTCACTGCAGCTCGACCACAGACCAGCGGCTCTTCCTCTGCAGTAAAAACCTTGTTTTTCACTCCGTGGTCAGAAATAAAAGATCAAACTGACACAAAACATAACTGAAGGATTTCTGAGTAAAACATGAAGTCAGTCTCTATCATGTGTGTTTTTCCTCGCAGCTCCGACTGTTATATTTCTGTAAACTGTGCGTCCTCGTGCTCCTGTGTTAGTGTGCCGTTACATCCTGACGTGTGTTTGTGCGTGTTTATGAGTTTGTTTGTGTTTGTTTTTGGGCTCGTTTTCTCATATGTTGACATTACGTGACATGTTTCCACATTCTTGAATCAGTAAAGCAAACAGAAACCTGCTGGATGAAACGACATGAATAAAACAGCACATACCGCCAGCCTGTGCAGATGTAAGCGAGCAGCAGCTGGCACACTTATATTAATGTGGAAACCACAGGTGAGGTTACAGTTGGCTGCTGAAAATCTTTCTGCAGCCGCTCGTTTAGAGCAAAACTTTTGATTTCATCAGATTCATTTGCACCTTTGAGCTCTTTTGAACATCCTGCTCTCCGTGTTCGTTTTATCCGTGCATGCTGCAGGACAGCGCAGCTTCTCCCTCACGCTTTCTGGGAGCAACGCATCGCCACAGCGTGGGCGTTTACATCTGCTCTTCACACTCATGACATCAGCTGAGCAGATTACCGACTAACAGCGTCCTTATCTGATGGTGTTGCGCTTTTTCAGTTTTCTAAAACTTTCTGATGTTTGATCACTTCTAACCCCCTTCCTTCCTTCCTTCCTTCCTTCCTTCCTCTGAGATATTCAAAGGAAAAAAGTGTTTGAGTGTTTTCTGTGCGTGTAATAAGTTGGCCCGCACCGATGTGAGCTCATGTTATCTAAATGTCAGAGTTGCTTCACTCAGGTTTGCAGCTGAAAGGTCAAATCGTGTGTTAACGTTTCCTTCACTCAACAGAAAAATAACCTTTACAACATCCACAAAGTTTTATAAGGAAGAAGCGCTCTGACCACAGAACAAAGTCACATGAAGCAGCTGCTGAGCGAGCAGACAGCAGCGTGGTGGAGCATTCTTCCCCTGTGACGGATTTATCCCGAAACAGCTTCTTCGGGCTCCGGAGCCTCGGTGAGCCGAGGTCCAGCACGCTGCCTCCACACGCCTCTACACCTCTCTTACATTA